GTGCCAGTGAGCCCAGATGCAGGCTTTGGCAGTCATACGTAGGTGGGTGGCCCCCTTCTTCCCATCCATTCAGACATCTGCATTGGCCAGTGGCTCTCTGACCTGTCCCTGAAATGGATAGAGGGGCTCCCGGCTCGGTAGGCTGCATCAGGACTTTTGGCCATTGGTTTGTGGCTGGGCAGCGGGAGCCTGTTCCGCCCAGTGGGGGTCGGCATATGATGGCCTTGTCCCCTTCTCTGTGATTTGCCCCCAGCTACTTGGTACCACAAGAGACTTGAGAAGCAGGTAGCCTTTCTACTCCCATATTACAGATGAAGAAACCGAGGTTCAGAGTGGGAATGAGACTTGCCCCAGTACTCCCACGGAGTGAGTAGAAAGCCTTGGTTGGAAGCCAGGATTGCTCTGAGGCAAGGAAAGGGGTGGAGGAGGGAGCCTCAGGGTTGGAGATCCCACGAGTCTGGCCTAAGCACCTTGCTTCCTGGTGGAAAGCCCTAGGGGTCCAGTTCCTTGGAGATGCAGCTGGGGAGTTTTTGAGGCAGTGGCTGGGTGGGCTTCTCAGGGAATGGTGAAATGGGAATGGAATGGGAAAGCCAATGCAAGGGGTATGGTGCTCCCTCCCTGAGAGGGTGTTTCCTTCAATGCTGGGAGAGAAGGAAAGGTGGCCACCGAACGGGCCTCCCAGCATGCAGGAATCTGGTCCCAGCTGCCTGAGGCTGTGCCAAAAGCCTGGGATTTACTGCCCTCCCCCCGCCACCCACCCCAGCCAGCTGCGGAAAGGGTGTTGAGGGGAAATGCATTCCAAATCAAAAAGGCATCAGGGCCACCCCTGCCGGCATCATGAGGTTGGTCTGCAGAGCCGGAGGAGAGAATCACCTGGGACGGATCACACCAGAGCGTGATTCCAGTGGGACAGGTCTGCACAGCGACATCTTCAAGGTGAGTGAAGATTGTGCCAAAACTCTCCCTCCATTGTATCAGCTGGGTTCCATTTCTTTGTTGAGCCTCACTGTCACCGTTGTCATCAAGCTGGCATTCTTTGGACATTTCCTATGTGCTTGATGCTACTCAAGTGCTTAGCCTATATGCCATTTAATCTTTTAAAAAGATTTATTTATTTATTTGAGAGAGAGAGCATGCAAGCAAACAGAGGGAGAGCCAGAGGGAGAGGGAGAGAGGCAGAGAAGCCGACTCCCTACTGAGCGCAGAGGCCAGCGTGGGGCTCGATCCCAGGATCCCGATATCACAACCCGAGCCGAAACCAGGAGTTGGAGGCCCCATGGACAGGACCAACCAGGTGCCCCTCTTTCATTTCATTTTAAAGCTCATCACCTCCCTGAAAGGTCGGTGGGGCTGCTGGCCATGTAGCACCTGCGTGTGGATTAGAAAAAGCTGCTCCCTCCTGGGATGTCTATCCTCGGCTCACAAAGCAGATAGGGGCTGGATTTCCAGCAGAAGGTGCCCTTGCTGGGGCATCTTAATATAGCTCCCAAGACTGCATAGCCCTTGTGACCCGGGATGAATGACAACTGTCAGGATCCCCATTTTACAGATGAAGAAACTAAGACTAAGCAGGTATTTGCCCCAAGGTCACGTGGCCAGTAAGTGTCCAAGTCAGGATTCAAAACTGCCTGAGTCCCCAGTGGATTCACCATGACATCACATTGTATAAGCACTCCATTGTATAAGCACACATTGCAGTGGTGTTGGGGGAGAGAGCAGGGGTCTATCTGTAATGATGCTTTTCATTAAAACCTTATCATTACCCAATGTGTGTAAAAAGAAGATAATTTGCTACAGGTTTAAAGTCATCCATGGAATGGGGGGAAAAAACAACAACCGAACAGCAACACAAACCCCAAACTTGTAAATACTATTAACTGCTCTCCAACTTGGTTGAATTTAGCTGATGTTTTCGGTGTTGACTTTCCCAGCTATCTGCTTAACTATATAAATCCAGTTGACGTGTCTTTATTCAGATAAAACTCTAATGCTGCAAGTGTAGCAAATTAGATGCAAATGCCCCCTTTTTATTTTAAGTATACTTAAAGCTTCCTTTCCAATGCAAATTTCTTAGGAAATCTCAACCAGCTAGGACAGACATCTTAGCTGTCAGCAGGCAAATGCTTTCATTTCGGTCTCAGGCAAGGGAGCTGCCTGCTTTTTTTTCTTTCTGCCCCTGCAGACTGAGATAATTAAAACTATAGAGAAATAGTTTTAAATATACATGATACACACAGTTCCTTAAATTATGGGATAATGCATAAATTCACCCATTACCATATTTGATAGCGGTCTCGCTGACCAAAGTTGGAAGGTGGCAGTGGGGGGTGGGCAATGTGGTTTTCGCCAGCATCTTGCTTCTGCTGTCATCAACCACATGGCTCCTGTCGCTTCACCTGCTGTCCTAAGGAGCCCTGGTAATGGTTCAAAAAGAGGTTGTGAACACACTCATTAAAAAGGGGCTGCGATGTGTGTTGTTTTTTCTTTTTTTTTTTTAAAGAAATAAAAATGTTAATGGTAACTTTTTTTCCTTTTTTTCCCCCCCAGCTGTCTGAGTCTCTTTGGAATACATATCCATTTCAGCTTTGATTTGTTGAGCTCCCTGAATGAGTTTATCCAAACAATGTGAATTTACTTAGATCTCTCTCAAATCCCACATCTCTTGTGGTTGATAAAGCTGACTTTAGCTAAGAAGGGCTGGATCAGTGTGATTTGAAATTCACATTGAAAATGATAAGGGCTTTGCTGGAAATAATAAAGCATAGTCAAACGCTGTCAGGAGGAAACAGTGGAGCATGCAGGGAGAAATTCGGTAAGGCCGTGCCCCACCCTCCCCCTTCTCTTCAGAATCAAGGTAGAGAAGGGAGGGGAAAGGTGGAAGGGGGGCTTTGCTCAGACACACAGTTTAGCTTTGTAGGTGATGGGGATGATAATTCTAAAGAGCTTTGTGCATGAGCTTTATTCTTCATGCTTAGAAAACGGCAGCCATCCCTTGATGGGTGATGGACACCCATGGGCGTTGGGGGTGGCAGCCATCTTTGCCAGCATGGTGCCCGGCCTCTGCTGGAATCCATCTCCCACCCGCCCAACCACTTCTGTCTCCATCTCCGTCTTGGTGTCTGGTCTCCCCACCTCTTTTTCTATCTCCTCAGATTCCTTTCTGAGCGCCTAATCCATTCCTGGTCCTGAACTAAATGTTTCCCCCGTTTCCTCCTGATTATCCTAGGAGGCAGCACATGTATCCAACCCCTTTGTAGGAGATGCCATGGAGATGTGGCCCAGGGGAGCCGTCGGGGACACCCGTGTCCTTCATCCTCTTTCCCTTCAGCTGCCAGGCAGAGATCAATGCCTTAAGGAAGTGATGCTTGGAAATGGCTCTTGAGAACCTTTGAAGGAAGATGTTTTTCTGGAACACGTTCTCCAGTGAAACCGAAGGGGAAGCCAAATGTCCCTTGGCGGGGGGCAGGGGGGTGGGAGGGCGCAGAATCGCCCCCATTGGAGAACACCGTGGAGACTTGGCCCCTTCAGAGCTCAGATTCCTCCTTTCCCTTAAAAGGCAGGTTGCACGTAGGTTCGGTCCCCACCTCCCACTTTCCCTTTGTCTCCCTGCTTTCACACGCCCTCCTAAGCAGCTACGCAACCTTCCCTGGAAATTGGTGCATCAGAGGAGCTTTGCCACTGAAACCTTATTTCTAATTATAATAATTGCTCCCCGTTGTCTTTACCATTGGGGCAGTCGGAGCAGGCACTGGGGCTTCTCCTCACTACCTTGATCTATACAATCCTAGTTCAGCTTTGATGAATGACTTTTTCGACTGCTTCTGCCCTTCCTGCGTGCGTGTGTGTGTGTGCGCGCGCACACGTGCATGGGTGTGCATGTGTGTCTGTGTATCTGGGGAGCACAGGGACCAGGCTGGGGGGGCGGGGTGAATTCTTCTAAGGCCTTGTCTCTCTCAGCCCCACTGTGGCAATCCGTTTCCCCTCCACCCTGTAAAGCAGCTGAGCTCTGAGTTGACCTCTCTCTTCCCCGGCGCTGGGGGGGTCTCTCCGCCCCCACTCCATCCTCCACCTGGGCCGCCTCTCCTGACCCCACGACTTGCAGTTTCCTAACTCACGCCGCTAATAGCCACTGATCACCGAAGGGCAGTTTAAATTCTATTTAGACTTAAAAAAAAAAATAGAAAAAAAGGAGAAGCCAAACTTCAAAAGCTCTCTCCCGCGAGCGGAGTGGAAGCCACATCAGCCATTACCAGCAGAAGCTGGATCAATACGTGTGCAACATCCCCTGGCTGGGGTTTCGAAGAACTTTTATTATGAGCGCGGTTAAGCTGTTCTAAAGTGGGGCATCATTTATAAAACAAACGGATCCCTTCCAAATAGGTTATTTTCCTGGTTAATGACCGATCGTCTGCCCTGGGGTCTGTCTGTGTTAAGATTCCAGATGGGAACAGGCACTACCAGCCCAATTATCTTTATTAAGTGTTTTTCCTCCCCCTTTCTGAAAAATGAAATGGCAGCCGGCTCAAATGTCTCCTCCTTCCCCTTGTCCTCACCCCTGCGCCATTTCCTGCATTCGCCTCATTATGGACAAGTATGTCCTTTAAGACACGGAGACTAATGAGGCGGTTTTATGAGACTAATACATTTTAAATTTTAACACTGGAGCTAGCATCTTTAATTGTACAATTATACATGCATTTAGCACACGCACGCGCGCTCTCTCTTTTGCTTTAAAAGATAACAAACCACAGGTGACTGAATGTATGTGAAAAGGCAGAATTTATGTTATTCTTTAGGGTACTAAATCATGCGGGACTAGAAGTTGTTTTTCTCCTGACAGGTTTCTGAAGCAGAATTAGTTGCCTTTTTGAAGAAAAATTAAAAAAAAATTTTTGTTTCCTTTTGTTTTGTTTTGAATCAGGGAGGATGGCAGATGGGTACATTGTGCCTGTGGTGAATTTGTCTTCTGTCTCCCATTTCGACCTATAGGGAGCGTGTGGCTAAAAAGTATTTTGAGAATGAGAGAAGCCTGGATGTTCTGAGGCCCAGCAGCTGCAGCGGGTGAGAGAGAGAGCTAGAGAGCGAGAGCGCAAGAGGCACTACCCCCATGCATCCCGTCTCTAACAAAAGCCCCCTACATTCCCCACCTGACAGGACTTTATCGGGTAGTAATAAATAAGGCTGAATTATTGATGATGAGAACTGCTAATATTATTATGACCTCAATTAAGTGCTTTTTCCAGACACATTAGTAACAAAGGGTCTTCCCTCTCCTGGTTGCTGTTTTTCTCCCCCAGGCCCCACTTTACATTAAAATCTAATTGATCAAACCTATTTGCCATTCGCACAAGAGCGATCACCATAATGGGTCATCTATCAGCATGGGTTCCTCATCAGGCTATTAACACCTTTTGTTGCTGGCCTCACTTCTGTACCAGCTGAGAGGATCAGAAAGGCAGGGCCTCCAATCTGGAAGGATCGTGTGTGAGGTCTGACTTGTGCTACCTTTTAATTGCCCTCTTTAACATCCTTGCAAAACCCTGTAAGATGCTCTTGCTCCCGAGGAAGTCCCGTCAGGCAGCTGTGGAGTGACAAGATGGCGGCCTTCTTATTAGAACAGAAGGTGTTGTGGGGGTGGGGGTGGGCCACCTCCACTGCTGCTCACTGCCTCCCCATCATCTCCCCCTCCCTGTTGGCCCTTACATGGCCTGCTCCGGAGAGGCCCAGAGACAGGACAGCTCCTGTCCTGTTGGAGTCTGGAACTTGGTGCTGGGCGTGAAGGTGTGGGAAGTGTGCAGCGTTCATTGTCAGAACTGGAGACTAAAATGGAGACCTAAAATGGAGACTCAGGAGTCCCCCCTGAGCAGAGCCTCCCCCGGACTCCCTGGCCTGAAGTCACTCACAGAAGGTCCATGATGACCCATAAGCCCTCTGCACTGTGTGCAAAATTGTGTTTACGTGTATTTTCTTAGAGAGGTTTATAGCTTCCATGAGATTACCAAATTTATCCCTGACCCCAAAATGGGTTAAAAATATCTTCTTGGGAGCTTGCTAGTTGGGGAGGTCTTCTCTCAGTCCGACTGTCACTCAGGATTGGATCTCTGGCTTTAGGAAGATGGTGAGGCCATGGAGATGGGAACCGCTCTTGATACACCGTGGTGTTGGGTCAGACTCTCTCTCTCTGGGCCTCTGTCTTCTCTGCCTATTTGGTCCAAAGAAAAAACTCTCATCAACCTCCTGCTGCCCAAAGTGACTGTGGGAATGGGCTTTCTAAATTAGTCTAACTTGTGCAGGGCCTCCCACTGGATACTGGAAGATACGAGAATAGGACACGCCCTGCATTGGTTGTGTTGCTCCAAATAAGACATGACAGGAACTCTCTTCGGGTGACATTAGACAGCTTGGAGCACTATTCCTGGCCATCTCTTTGGCCTACCTACGCAGCCCTACCTACTCCCCACGAAAATAGCTTTATCATTTTTTCCCTGATTATAAATGAATCCATCCTGAAATCGCTCAGAAGGGAGTTGAAACCTCCTCAAATCTTAACATTTTGGCTGGCCTCATTTCTCCTTTCCCGCCATGCAAATAACAATAGGAACATCTCCAGGAAGTTGTGTTTTGTTTTGTTTTTTCCTCCAAGAATGGGACTATATATATTTAAGTGGTTAATTTGTTAATTTTCTTATTTATTTAGCAATTATATTATAAACATCTTTCCATGTAAATACTGTCCATCCTCCTCATTTTAAATGACTGCCTAGGATTTAATCGAATTGATTTTTCAAAAGATATTACCCAATCTGCTCTTGTTAGCTGTTTCCCGTGTTTCCACTTTGGTTGGTTTATAAACAGGGCTGCACTAGAGGTCCTTATATAAACCGATGTACTTACCCAGTGATGTTCTTCATGGATTGGGAAAAGCAGAATTCCTGGACTAAACGGTTTGTGTTACATTGTTTTGTTTGAGTTAACAGTACAGATTAACGCATAGGCTACATCACCAATGCGACTTCTGGGGGGGCGCTAACTGGCGTTTCTGTCAAAAGGTTGTCCAAGGTGAGAAGCCTCGAGGGGAGGAAAACTCAGCAAATTAAAGCTGCCTTGGTGGGTTTGCTCTCTGCAAGTGTGAGTCTGGAAGCACCAGGGCGATCAGGCTCAGGTTTGCTGCCTGGTGCAGGGAGAGGCAGGGCCGAATCTTTTGTCTCTTCTGGAACTGCTGATGGACAGACACACAGCCCCTTCGGTGAACAGGCCACCTCTGTCCGTAAAGAGGTTGCAGGGCGGGCAGCTGGGAGGGGATGCTCGGCTCTCCCCTCATCTCAGAACTCCGTTCTCACTCCATAGGACCCTGTGCCAGATGGCCAGGCTGGGGTGGTGTAGAGGGGTGTCTGTCTGCCCACCGCTCCTCCAGAGAAGGGGGTGGGCAGGAGGCCCCACAGCTGTGACACATTCCGTCAGGAAGCACAGGATATCATGAGCACTGCCTGGTGGCTTCTCATCCTGCGTTGTCTTAATTCAAGTTGTCATTCATAGACCAGGAGAAAACTAAAATCAATAAGTGGTGAAAATGGGCTTTCAAGGCAAACTAAAGTCACAGAGGAGGGAGGAAAAGAGTATCTGTTGCCTCAGTGGGTTACCTTTCCCTTCCTATGTGGGTGGCTGGATTTCTGGCCTATGATTTTTGTTTTCATTTTGTTTGTTTTTTTAAAGGAGATGGGGGCAGAAAATTGGTTCTTTCCCCTTTAAAATATACAGGATGTCAATGGGTACCTGGGTGTCTCAATCGGTTAAGCATCTGACTCTTGATTTCGGCTCAGGTCATGATCTCAGGGTCCAGAGATCCAGTCCCGCATCAGGCTCTGTGCTCAGTGCAGTCTGCTTGAGGTTCTCTGTCTCCCTCTCCTTCTGCCCCCCCGCCCCCCGTTCCCCACCAGGGCTCTGATTCTCTCTCTCAAAACAAAAACAAAAACAAAAAAACTTAAAAATATACAGGGTGTCCATTGGACAAGACCTTGGGGGTAGAGGACCCATTATTTGATGGGATCACAGAGTACATGGGGATGATGGTGTCGGGATGTGTCTGTATTTTATCCCAGGGCAACTGCAGGTTTGTTTTAAGATGTCTGTCTGCTAATTGCTGTGTTACTTTCTACCAGTCAATGTACTTCTCTGGGCCATGTCTTACCAGCCAGAAAACAAATTAGATAAGGTGCAATGATTTTTTTAGCCTGTTCTCTGATGAGAGACCACAGCTGATGTGAGCTGGGTTGTGAGTGAGGGGGTATTAGGGTGGATATTGAGGTCAGGGCATTTAGGGCTCTGATCCTTTTGTCTTGATAGTGGCTCTGCAAAAGATTTCATGGGAAGTTAGAATTTCAGAGCAGAGGCAAAAGTTTGGCAAAAATTAGTGAAGGAGAGGGTTTCTGAATTTCTTTCCATTTCTGAGAGACTAGAAGCATCTGTTGTGTGCCTACAAGTTATCACTGAGAATCCAGCTTGGACTCAGTCTACCTTCTTCTGGAGACGGGTAGGACCAGCAGTAGTGACATTGGTGGCAGGCCTAGGTGGGCGATGGGCTCTGGTTCTGGCTATTCCTAGAAACATGGAAGGACTCCTTTGTCACAAATGAGATGTCTCAACCAGGTCACTCTCCATCTCTGTGTGTCATGGGCTTGGTGGTCAAACATGGAACAGGAGGAGACACTTGTCAGACCAGGAATAATTTTAAACCAAGGGACAACAGCAGAGACAAGGCAACACCGCCTTAGTGGGCATGAAACTCCATTACCCAGTCTCCGTGGCAAAGTGAGGTAATAATTTCCTGGGCATCCTTTGAAGGAGCCAGACTTTTGTAGGTTGGCACCGAAAGGGTAGCCTGTGGAGGAAGGAGGGAGAGGCTCAGCCTCTCTACCTCACCCCCAGCCATGTGTTGGTCCCGAAGCCATTTTAGGCAAGTTCCCTAAAGGCCCCTTCCAGTGCCTAGTTAGAAATTCTAGGGCCTCTGAGGGGCACACAGATTTGCCCAACACAAACATAGAAAACCATTTAGTGCTAAAAAGAAAAAAAAAATCACTGGCGAGAGGTTTCAGAAGTAGAGATGTGAGGTTATCTGTATTTAGAACATACAAAATAATCCAATGTATTGGGAAGACTTTCTAAGAAATGCAGCTCAGCAAACTTGACTGGCAGCTCGAGGGCTAGTTTTGACCAGGAGCTGGTTTTACGAGGCAAGGATTTACTTACACTACTTATGGGGATGGTGCCCTGGCCTTTCAGAATAGTGCGGAAGGTGTGCCTGGCCAAGGTGGGGACAGAGCTGTGTTGATCTTCATGCCACACAGCTGGCGCCCAGCAGGTGTGGAGTGTGTGCACTTGGCTGGGGAGACAAGTAGACCCAGCAGGCAGAGAAGAAGGCTCAGTGCACACCCATGGGCTGGCGAGCCCAGCAGCCTGGCGATCCAGGTGGGCCAGACATGACGGTGGCCCTGGGTCTCCTTGAACTCTTCCTACCTGTCAGCTTGATTAGTGTGCAAAGGGGCCACCATCACACCTGTCAGAATAGCGCCCAGTATTTCCTGAGCACTTTCTCTGGGCCACACGCTGTTCACAGCCCCTTACTAATAGACTCGAAGACCCTTGGAGCCAATCCCCTCAACAGCCCAGTTATTAACCCATTTCACAGATGAGGGACTTTGAGACTCAAAGAGGTATAAGTGGCAGAGCCTGGATTTGTTCCTGACTTGGGAGTCTGGATGTGACACTGGGAGACTGTTGTCTTGGAAAGCACACACTTGTCCATTTGAAGGGAGAGAAACAGAAACCTGGAGCCTTCCATGTTTGATCTTGGCCGCCACCAAACCCCCTTTTCTGTGAGGTCCTTGAGGAACACACATACCTTGAGAGCAGGGGCCGGGCTCCTCTCTTCAGAGCTGAGGTCCCCCCCCCAGCAGCCCCCCAATTCAGCATTCTGCCAGTGGGGACCGAGCTGCAGGGCACACTCCTCTGCTCAGGATACAGGGAGGGCAAACAAGAGGAAAGTTCTCAGAGCCTCAGTTACCAGCTGCAAGCCTTCCTAGGTGGGGAGGGTTTAAGGTGCAGAGAGAGACACCATGCCCCCCACCCCCGACCTGGACAGCACCGCCCTGCCCTCTTATGAGCCTCAGAACCTTCCCAGGACCTGGCCCCTGAGCCGTCTCCAGCCTGACCGAGGTGAGCAAGAGAAAGGCAGAGAGCGCCTGACCTGTGTTCTTCTCCTTCCCAAGGCCAAGGGCTTCACTCTGCGCACATTCAGGTGGGCGAGACGCCTGCCGCGCTCTTCTTCTGTCTCGAACTCTGATGGCCAAGTTCAGTTTCCAAGGTGGCATTGCCGATCACCGAGAATGCATGAGGAAGGTGTGGAGTCCTCGTGGTGTAATTCTTAATTTTGTAAAGTTGTGGAGCCCTATTCATTTCATGTGACAGTCTCTTCCTTCCCCCTACCGTGACGGAATGTTCTGTGGCGTATGTTATGATCTTTAATTAAAGGGAACTTAATTTGCTTTTGAGGCATCCTTTGTTCATGGGAGACACCCTAGGGTGTTTTAAAAAACCAGGTTTGGAAGCATTGTCATTGAAGCCCGGAGTCGAAGGCGGACTCGCTGCTCCGGACAGACGCCCGGTCACCTGGGTATTGGGAGTCGGGGGGTGTCTGTCCCCTCCGGGCCTGCTCTGTGCTTCGGTGGAGAAGCTGGAACTTCTCCAGGCCCTCCCCACCAGCCTCGGGGTTCGTCTGCCCACCTTCCAGCCAACACAGACCCCACAGGCCCCGGGAACGGACCGTGGGCCAGAATGATGTTCGAGAAGGGGACGGACCATTTAGATGACAAATGGGCTTCAGGACACTGTCAGAGAGTCTGGGTGGGGGAGACTATTAGCAGTCACACGGAGGCGGCCGCATCTGTGATGCCAGAGCTGGCCGGTTGGTCCCCACTGCTGTGTTTACTGCTCCTTAATGCGGTATTGTTTACTCACAATTAAACCCTTTACCATTAATTTAACTTTCAGATGCTGAAATTGGTCACACAGCCTCGAGTCTCAAGGCCCGGACAGATGTGTTCTATACACTTGTTTAAACACGGCGCTCATTAGGAGGTAATGCATGTATAGCAAGTTGATTACACCACAAAGCGGGCCGCTTTATCACGGGGGCCTCTCAGGAGGCGGCGGGAGGGGCCGTCAGCTGCCGCTGTCACTCTCCCCCCACCTCGGATCCTGAGTGACGGCTGGGCCCGCCACCTCCTCACAGGCCTGCTCGGAAGTACACAGCTTCCCGTCAGAGAGCCGCCGAGCTGCCTGGGAGGACGTATTAATTGTTGTCAGCCTCCATTTCACACTCCAGATAACAAACGAGAGCCACCCTGGCAGTGTTTAAGGAAGATAAACAAGTTGCCTGAGCCCCTGCAATTAAACACGCTTGCATATTTAACTGAGATGTTTCCTGTAAAAAAAAAAAAAAAAAAAAAAAAAAGAGGCAGCACTACCCCGAGCAGCAGGGTGGGGAGGGGGCAGGGTCATCTGACCTGGAAGCTGCCCGCTCCGTGGGGCGCGGAGGCGGGCCCTGAGTTTGCGGTGACTCCCGGTAAGCCGTGTTTCTGCATCTTGGGCAGGACAGCTGCCAGGAGGAAGGGTGAGGGGATGGATTCTGGAGGCCAGCTGCAGGGGCATAAGTTTCAGATGCGCTTTTATACGCGGTGTGACTGTGGGCACGTGGCTTCTTTGAGCCTCAGTTTGCCCATCTGTAAAATAGGCATGCTAATAGGACACCAGGTTGTGTTTCTCGAGCGTGGAATCAGGTTGCAGTCTGTGGCCCTGTGTTTGCTCCGTAGTAAAGGGTGAGAACATGGGGACGGTCAGCCGTCAAGTTAGTGCACTTTCTGTTCACCTTTGAGCAGATAAGTTTGTTTAGCAGCAGAGGGTTAGAAGAAAGAATGAGAGGTTAACCCTGAGCTGAGTAGGGTGATGGCCGTCCTTTGCTCCGCAGTCCACAGAGGGCAGGATGGAATGAACTCGAGCCAGAAGCGTGTGGTGGGTGTTTTGCCTCAGGGCAGATTTAACAGGCCCAGGAATTAGATAGATCTCCACCTTCCAGAGAGTTCCAGAAATTTCCAACCCAACCTCTGTGAGGAACGAACCTGCCAAACAACCCCATTTGCTTCTCTAGGCCTTCTCCTCACCCTCCTCTCCCCCTCCTCCTGTTCCTCCTCCCCACCTTCTCCCTCCTCCTCCCCATCCTCCGCCCCTACCTTCCTTCTTCCTTAACTTGGCTCTGCCGTAAAGCAAAGCACATCCACTAGCCCCTATCACCTGAAGGGCCCCTTTCCGTCCCGACACCCCAGCCACCACATGGGTTCTCAGAGCACGGGTGTTTCTCTTTCACAGAATCTCTCATCTGTCCCATAAGCTCGTTATTTGAGAAATTATCTGCTTAATTTCCATCTTGCAATGAAGACGGGCTCTGCGTCTGTGCTGTTCACCCTCAACCCCAGCACCCAGGATGTTGCCTGTGGGTGCCGAAAAGCCGTGCATTGCTTGACCCGCTGGCATGCGTTGGACCCTGTCTCTTGGGGATCCAGAGAGAGGAAAAGTCCTTATGATTCCTCATGGCCTCTTTTGTCTTTTTCTTTCTATGACTCAGTGAGGCTAACCCTGCTCCTTTGTGTCCATCTCATGGTTGGGGAGGGAGGGGTGGAGGGTTCCGAGAGGACCTCCATCAGCTAGGTGCTTCCGGGGCCCCTGCCAGGGACCCGCGAGTCAGGGCTTTCCCCTTCAGTCTTGCTGACATCGCCAACAGCTCGAGGACCCGCGATGATTTGTCCTTGGACAATGCAGAAAGGATGTGGCTCTGCCTTGTGGGTGCATTTTAGGGAGGCGGGACCTTCATTATTTGTCTCCACAGCTGCTTCCTCTGGGCTTTGTGGCTGCCCGTGTGTCCTCTTCTCATCCGATCGCGTTACCCTTAATAAGCATCACCCCGCCAGGAGAGGGGTGCCGAATTCGGTATCCTGAGAGCGTGTGTGTGTGTGTGTGTGTGTGTGTGTGTGTGTAATGTGCTGGGGAAATGATCCCAAGGATGCATTTGGCACAGCACTCCCCCAAGACCCCAGCTTCCAGTTTGCCCAAACCCATTTGTATTTCCGCTCAGACCTTTGGGATCAAAATTCCTGACCCTGATGTGAAAAGCAAAAACACCTTTAAAAAAAAAAAAAAAAAAAACCCAGAGGAGGGAGGTGAAATTTCCTGAGCTTTCATTTCCCTTCATGCTTGAACTTGGATGACTCAAGTCATTTGCAGTCAATCTATTTAGCTGACTTGTCCTGCCAACTGCCAGGAGGTCAGCATTTCTGGATTTGCCCTTCCAGGGGGCAGCATGTGGTCCCAGCTGGTTGTGCCGTGCTGGGAACAAGGCTTGGGGGGTGCGTACGGGGGTTAGGGGGGCTGGTGTTGTCTGGAAGCTACGTTGGAGGGGCTCTCTGTGCTCGGAGAAGATGATACTTGGAGGGGAAGTGCTTTTGTTTGCTGTTTGTTTGGGTTGGTGGGATTAGCTCCGATTACATATGAATAACCTGGAGCGCTCTCAAGTAATTAGATGTTATCTTCCAGATGTTTAAAAGAAACCTTTAATATTTTAAGCTGCTTGGAGATCTCTAGGCATGTTATTAAAATGGATGGAATTTAAAGTGGGTGTCAGTGGTGTCCCTTTCTGTGGATTCCCTTGCTAGTGTAAGACCCGGGAGCCCGGGGTACCCATGAAAGGACCCGGAGCATTTATTGTCGTGGTCCCTGTTTGGGAACAATTGAGGCAGCCACCCATTCAATGGGTGGTAGAGGGAATGTCGCGTTGCTTCTGGCCCCTGTCAATCGGCCAGAGTGGCTCATTGATTTCTTTGAAGCACTTGAGAGAATCTCTCAGAAGTTCCCCTTCTCCGAGTCCCACACAATTGCCTGTTCTCTCTTTATTAGGCGCTTTGAGGGACAGCCTGGTCTACACCTGCCTTTGAAGGGGCCCCCACCACGGTTTTAATGACCTCCATCCGTCAAAGGAAAAGTTCAGAGTTCATTCTTTTGTTCAAGTCCCAGCAACGGAGGAGTCAGGGTGCTGGCTGGTCCCGCCTCCTTAAATCACCGGCCCGAAAACTTTCCCTGTGACCCTGCTCATGTCAAAACAGCGAGCTGGCCACTCTGGCCATTGTCATCGGAATAAGGGCTAAGTGATGCCGCTCAGTCATTACGTGTGTCCTGATTGGCAATCAGGGTACAATAGGGGGTCATTAAAGGCCATAAACCTGCCAAAGCTCTGAAAAGGGGATTTTGAATGGAGCCAGAGGGCTCTGGGAGCCTGCCAGTGGAGTGCCTCCAAGGACAAGGGGTTCGAGCTGATCTGGGAGGGGAAGAATCAGCGCTGGATGGATTAAGAAGTTTCTCCCCTGTGACACCAGAAAACACTGATCTCCTGACGTCACCTTCCCAGAATGCTCATTCCTTCGTTCTCACAGGAGATGCCCTTGGAGCCGTGACCCAAATAACACTTTGTGCAAAGAAGCCCAGAGGGGTTTTCTAGAAGGAGGTAGAAGTTACTCATAAACATCTAAATGTTCATCGAATTAAAGGATCATTGGGTAAAGGGGGACGCCTGTGTGCTCATGGGTAAAGGGGGATGCCTGTGTGCTCACGGGTGGTGGCTGGACACGTGCCTTTGTGCTGTAATGGGTGAGCACGTCCAATGATAAAGCTGTGCCTCGGAAGCCTATACTATAGAAAATAGTCAGTATACATCGATGCATAGGCAAAGGCTCTCTATAATGAAAGAGGCAGCTCTCTTCTTCTTCTTCTTCTTCTTTTTTTTTTTTTTTTAAAGATTTTATTTATTTACTGGACGTGGAACTCAATCCCAGGACCATGGGATCATGACCTGAGCCAAAGGCAGACGCTTAACCAACTGAGCCACCCGGGCGTCCCAAAAGAGGCAGCTCGTACTTAACAGTCTCTTATACCAGGGTCTGTGCTAGGCATCTACACGTGTTCACTTAGGTAAGCCCCACACCAACCCCTAGAGGCAGGTTAACGCCATGAGAGCTATGAAGGCTTCCTTGGGAAGGTTCCCCAGCATGGGGGGTCTTGGAAATGAACCAGGAAAAAAGAAGGAGAGTCCTTCTTCTCAAGATGATGGCAGCCTTCAGAGTGACATTTTTTGAGGCCCCTATTATGGGCCAGGCATGGGTGGCATCTCACTGAGTTCTTCTGTCAAAACCGTGGAGTTGATACTATGACCATTCCCGTTTTATAAGAATTAATGATCTGGAAACGGAAGTGCAAAGAAGGGTGCCGTGGATGGGGTCATCACTTCCGGCCGGATGGCTACCCCACTGGTGTGCAGCTCCATAGCCCCAAGAGGACTCTCCCCTGGCCTTGCCAGCTCCCTCTGCCTCTGCCCTCAACTGCTGTGTCAGAGGGGGTGTGGAAACTCTGGGTTAGGCTTCTACAGATGTGGGGCCCAGACTCTGCCCTGCTATGCAGCCTTGGGCAAATCGTGTCACCTCTCTGGGCCTCCGTTGAAACATGGCTGGAGTGAGGTGAGACCCAGACTAGCTCTGAGCTTCTCAAACTCAACCCTTCTCCACCTGGGGATAAAGCTGGGAGATACATGTGGGCCATCTTTTGAGATCATCGGTTTTATTCCAAGGCAAGTAATTAAAAACATGAGGTTTTTTTTTTTTTTTTTTTTCCCAGAAATAGATGTATTCTGCAGTAGAAGGCAACCCTCTCCCCCTGCCATGGACTTTTTAGGTTAAAAAGAGGTTTTATAGAAGTTTGGAGCTTGTACCCAGACATTTGGACTCTGTCCACTCTCCCCACTTCTACCCCCCAACTTCTGTTGGGGCTACCGGCTTCCTCTCCTCTGCCTCTAGGGGAGCTTAGAAGACAAGTGTGGGATCCCCTGGATCACCAAGCATGTGGACAGCTTGAAGCTCTTTTGAGGTAACCCAGTTGGCAAGAGGTGGCAAAATGGGGCTCTCAGGCCCTCATGGGGGGAAGCAACCAAGTTTGAGGATGGAGGACTGTCCCGTAAGCTCAAAAGTTGGTGTGAACAGGGAGAGGGTGAACCCACACTGAGATGACTGGGGATTCCCAAGGCTGTAGTCCGAAGGTCTAGTCAGGGCTAGGAAGAGGAGCCCTGGGCACAGGAGGAAGGACATCTTGGTAGATCCCAGCCCCATATAGGACTGGTTAGAGACTCTAGACAGATGCTTCTCACCCCAGCACCCAGGGCCCAGGGTGGGGAGGAGTCAAGGAGGAAATAATCAATGCAAGGCACCCGGAACGGGAGTGTGTGTTGTAAACTGTCCGTAAAGACCAGGCATCATTAATATTATCATTACTGTGTGACTAAGACCATTCCTGCAAGCAGGTGAACCACTTACCTGGGGTCCCTATGAACTCTGCCACCTCACCTC